GACTTGGAGATGCCTGGGGTAGTGCAGCTGGGGTGCTGCCGGGTTGGTCCCCGCAGCGCCGCACCTCGGCGCTGCAGGGACCAGCCCAGCAGCGCCCCAGCTGCTCTGTCCCAGGCATCCAGATTCAGCTGCTGTTGAAACTGATCAGCGGTTGATTCCAGGAAGCCTGGAGCAGAGAAACTCTGCCTCGGGCTTCCTGAAGTCAGCCGCTGGTCAGTTTCAGCAGCGGCTGAATCTGGACGCCAGTTCCGACTTAAGTACAATTTCAACTTAAGTACAAACCTACAGTCCCTATCTTGTACATAACCTGGGGACTGCCTGTACTGCTGCTCCCAGTATGTATTGTTCTCCATGGGCTCCAGGACATGGCTTGACTGGGCATACTATGTCAAAACAATTGTGCATCTAACTGGTCAGTTTCAGCAGCGGCTGAATCTGGACGCCAGTTCCGACTTAAGTACAATTTCAACTTAAGTACAAACCTACAGTCCCTATCTTGTACATAACCTGGGGACTGCCTGTACTGCTGCTCCCAGTATGTATTGTTCTCCATGGGCTCCAGGACATGGCTTGACTGGGCATACTATGTCAAAACAATTGTGCATCTAACTCAGTATCCTATCTTCTGACAGTGGGTAAGGCCAGATGGTTCAAGGGGAATGAACAGAACTGGTCAATTGGGGTTGTTGTTGTGGTGCTGTGGCAGATTGCCCAAAAATGTTCTCCATCAAGACAGTCTGGTTTTGCATGGGCTTCAGGAGCTATTTTTGCATGTGCTTCTCATTCTTAATAGGGTCTCTTGCCAATTCTCTGTCTCTCCACAAGGATAACTTCCTTCCACTCCTCTCTTTTTATCTGTCTTCTAAGATGCTGTCATAATGTCCTCAACCATTTCATCCTTGGTCTTCCTTTTCCTACTGTGGAGATTAATCAGAAGCTCTGCAGCTGATAAGGGTCCTGCCATTCTGGGGAATGTGTAGACATTTTCACATTACCTCCCCTTTGCTTAGGAACCCTGTTCCAATCCAAGGCTGCTGATATGGCATACAGCTGGGGACTGCAGGTTTCGGCTTGGGCTTTGCCTTTGCCTGAGTATGAGTAGGCAACAGCATTTAGGGGTCTGGGTAGATTGCAGGGATTGGAAGGTGAATGGGAGGACAAAGGTTTGCAAGAGGCAGGTTAGTAATTGTGGACAGTCTTTACAATGAAAGATATTACTCTGATCTAAATCACCCTAAGGCAGTGTAAGGGCTTATTCAAAAAGGCCACAGGTGGACAAGGAAGATATGCATTGATATTAATCACCAGAAGGGTCCCTCCAGAAGTACTGTAGGATGGGAAAAGCTACTCTACCCGTAAAGCTAGCCCCAAGAAGGATGTTGTGTCGTGCAGCGTGTGTGCCAAAAAAGAGCATTAAGTTTGCCTTAAATTCTGTTTGCTATTACCTGCACTCAGACACACAAAATGCAGAGCAAAGTAAGTACAACTCGGCAGTCTGTGTTCTGAACTTGATGGCTTAATGATGCCGAGCCAAGTGTCTTACAATCTCTGTACAATTATTGTCTCTGTCTTTGGGAAATATACTTCATAAAATGCTAAGAGAGCGGAAACTCAGGGCATTGTGAAGCAGAGTATGTTTATATTTTATAAACATGGCTGCATGACAAGGCTGTTTTACAAAGCCACTCTGGCATTGCTGGCTTTATCAGGGCAATGGAAGCAAAATGGATCCTCCCTGTAGTGTTTGATGGGGGATGGATGGGAGAGAGAGGTTGAAGGGTAGATGCTGGGAAGATAGTGGCAGCTACTGTTAAGACAAGGCTGAACTCTCTCCTGTTCCCAGATAACAAGGAAATCTATGACTTTTGTGCAGCACCACAAGGCCTGGATCTACAATGCTGATTACAATGAAAAGCATATATATCTCCAGTGCCACATAATTGCAAATAGAGACCTCTTAGTTGTGCACCAGCATTTAAACAGGCTGATGACATCTGGGCAACATGACCCTATAGCACTAGAGGGGAGACAGATAAAAAGAGATGGAAGTCCTGGTGTGATACAGTGCAGTGTGGCATACAAGTGGGAGGTCTGAGAAGTTAATCCAAAATATAGATAATTCCCTTTTCTGTACAAACACATTCTGAAATTAACTGAATCAATTTTCAAAGCGGATTATCCAATTTCCACTAATTGGCCAGCCGATTCAGAAGAAGAGTTGTATTGTGTGGATGCGAGCCCATTTTAACTGGGAAAAAAAATCCTGCAATTAGCGTGAAATAAATCCCACTATGTAGACAAGCTCAGGAAACAAGATTCAAGAAAAATACTTTTTATGCCCATGTATAAAAAATGTCTTACACCTGTTAATTGAGATGCCCTAGCACCTCGGTGCTTTGGAGAAAAGGTTTTAAGTTTAGCCAGGAGCTTGCTCTGGTATCTAGGATGTGCCATTTGCTTTTCTTATGAAAATTCACCCAAATGTGGCCAAATTCCAAACCTTTAAAAATTCCAGTTGCACATTCTCAGAGACTTGCTAGAGTTTGGCAGCTCCATGGCCCAAAGATTCCATCCACACTGAGGATACCCCTCACCACCCAGGGATGCAGGAGCGGAGCAGGACTTGCCTCTGAAATTGGTCCCACATGCAAGGAGCTACAGTCACAGTGGAATTGGGAGCAAGGAGACTGATGTCCTGTGCTATAAATGCTGCCGCTACCCTTCTGTCCCTCCCCTCCCCCCCGCCTCCACGATGACACCAGGTTGTGGGGAGGGGAAAAAATGAAGCTGCTGCCTCATTTGAATGCAGAGGGGTGGAAGGATAGACACAGACAGGGGAAGGAAGCTGAGGAGGCAAGAAGGGTTGGGTGTATATAGACACACAGGGGGAGGAAGGCAAAAGCTTGAGCACAGAAGTGGAGGAAGTTGGATAAGAGCAGAGAGGGATGGAAATAGGAGCTGGGCATGGGTTGATAGCCAGAGAAGGGAAAGGGACTGGATGGGTGCACAGACACTGAAGAGTATCACCACAAGAGCGTATTCATCTCCACAAAAGCAGGCCCTGAACTCAAGCATTCTGAGTCCCTCTATTCCTCTGCCCTGAGCAAATAGCTGTGAAACCACTGGCAAAGTATTTCTCTAGTTCAGAAAGAAGATGATCATCTACTGAAGTCACCAGATGCTCCATTAACTCGTGTGGTAGAGGTTAGTGCAGTGAAGCTAAAGGTCTAAAGCAAGCAGGTCACCCATGTGACAGGATTTCTGGGAGGTAGATTCAGTTATTTTTAAACTTAGAAAATTACATTAAAAAAAATATAGCAAAAGAACATTAAGGTTGCAAAATCAAGCAACCAAAATTTTGGAGAGACCAGAAATAAAGTTGTGCTGTGAGACATCCATAAAATATAATTCAAAGTAAACATATCAGTGTGCTGAACTATTACCCAAATGCACTGGAACCTCTTTTCCTGTTATTCTCCCACCACATAAAAAAAGTCTCCTGATTTTACCATGGCTGGCTTAAGTGCTGTGCATCATACCTGGTTTTCTTGGTGATGCCAATGACAAATTTGCAGAACCTGCTCTAGTCCTTGGCGTTGTTGCTTCAGATATTTGTCCAGTTGCCTTCTCCTGTCTTGTAGCAGTTCAAGGAGACTGTCAATTTTTAAGCAGCTGCTGTGGGCTCCTTGAATCAACTCAGGGTTCACATTAGGCCCGTCAGACTTGAATTCTTCTATGAATTCAGTCAGCTCATGGCTTTTGTTTAAGAGGGCCAATGACTTTTCCAAGAGCTCTGAAAGAATAAGATCACATATGAAAAAACATGCTAATTTTGATTAATACAGTCATTAATATATAAAGCAAATATTGTAGAAATGAGGTTTCTGTCACTGATGTGGATGTATTTGAGAGAGGACTCGATGAGAGTCCAATTCCCCAGAGTACAGGCAGGCACTGCGAAAGCCAATCATAGTTAGCTATGAAGAAGCTCCACTTTCTAGCTGAATGCAAATAACGTACAGTATAAGCACTGGAACTCTCTGGAAACAATTACCATTCCACGGAAAAATACAAATATTTTTAAAAAACGGAATTTTCCATTGAATGGAAATTCCAAATGTTTCTTTTTTTTAAAAGAGATGAAACAACACTTTATATTGACATTTTCAAAATCTTTCTGAGGCTCCCTCACAGTTGTCTGGAGACCTAGCAGTCTACTAGAAAGGTTGCCCCAATGTCTAGGAGTTTGGATACATGGGAGGCTTATAAATTTGGGCTGCTGAGCCATCAGGAAACCTGCCTTTCTGTATTTTGAAATCTGTATTTCACTGAAATCATCACATTCGTCTGGAGTGTTTTAATTTAGAAAAATTCACATTTTCCGACAAAGACATTCTACTGGAAAATTTCCAACAGCTCTAGTAAGCATGTGAACAAGCCTGAAATAACCCATTTAGCTAAGTACACAAAATGCTTATTACAAGATGAGATCCTGCACAAGTTGTTTTGAGCCTGCTTCTACTTTAGGATGAAGTGACCATGCCTTTGCTTCTTAGGAGATGTTGTCAAAACTGTTAGAATAAACATTTGAAATTTAACAGGGATAACTCCAAAGTGAAGTCACTCATTTCCCCACCCCCAATTAGGCGTGCTCCTGGCACACCGATAAGTTTACTTTTTAAATGTAAAAGAATTGTCACCATAGCTTTTTAGCGCAAACACTTTGTAAAGAAGGCCAGCAACTTTTCTGCAGAGAAAATAGTCTCTATTAGAAAGGCACAGCCTAATACAAGCATGATTTTCATTAATTTTATGACCATCCTCTAAATTCTTAGCACTTTGGAAAGATGTAAACCAAAAAGGGGAGCATTTGCTACTTCTTCTGTCCCTTTCTGAAGCCTATCTTCCCTCTGGAAAACAATTTTACTTGATTGTTTCAATTATGGACCCTCTTTCCAGCAATGACAATCAATCACTGCCAGGTATTCCAAGCTAAAATTGCTGTGTGATGAGCACTTCAGTCCAATAAAGATTGAATTGGGACCACCAAGCCCATATTAAAGTTACCTGAGCTCAATTCACTAGTGTCTCTTGAGTAGAATTGCATCTGATTCACAGTGCCAGCATTTGAAGCAGCTAGCTTTCTGATACAGTGCAAAAACTGTTCACGCTGCTACTCTACTACTGAACAGTCAACTGCAGTTTATTTTTTTCCTGCCTGTTGTTTGATTTCCTATAACAGGTTTCCTTTAACATTTGGTTAAAATTACAAGGCTGGAGTGTATGGATCTGTAGGAAGAAAGCAGTCTTATGTAGGATTTCAATCTTTCAAAATAGACTGCAATTGTACTTAGTTGTGCAAAGAGATTGATTTTGAGATGGTGGGAAGGCACCTTGCCTCCCACTCTCAAAAGATTAGTATGTTGTCATAGCAGAAAATGCTTCATATAAAGATCTGATTTTAAGATTAATGCCCCATCTGCTGAATTTCTTATAACATGGGAGAATCTGTCTAGTATTGAGAGAAAAACATAAGATGTGGAAGCAAGAGTGTAAGCCTAGTCCTGGGCCCCTGACCTGTGCTCAGACCTGTAAGTAAAGGTCCTGTGGCTCCTTTCAAATCACCGGGGCCTAAGGGCAGAGGAGACAGAAATGCAAATACAGTCCCCCAGTCAATAAGGCCCCAGGCCCTGGTGCAGGGCACAGCAGCAAAGCAAACACAGTCCCACAGTTAGTAAGGCCCCGAGTCTAGTCCTACAATTAGTAAGGCCCCAGCCCTGGTCCAGGGCAGGTCAGAAAACAAATGCAGTTCCAGTTATTAAGGCCCAGGCCCTGGTTCAGGTCAGGTCAGGCAAACAAACGCAGTTCCCCAGGAATGAGCAGGGAGGGGGGAGACTGCCACCCAGTATGTGTTGTGGCAGGGGGCACACAGGCCCTCTCTAATCCACCGCGTCCCAGCCCAGGGCCCTAGGAGTTGCAGCTCTGGCTGCATGGATCTGGCCTGCAACACACAGACATACCCTAAAACATTACGAGATCAGCCTGATAGTCGTTGGCTTCCCTTGGGCCACTTCCTAACTCCCCCTCAGCATCTGCCTGGCTCCATGCCAGCTGCTGGTCTTCAGGGTTGTGGTGCTATGAATCCTTGGGCAGGGTGTAGAAGGTCTCCTCTTTGAAGCAAGAGCCCGGCCATCTGGGCCAGTCCTCAGCCTCTGCAAGGTCCTCCAGGCCCGCTTGGCTTGGGAGCTCAGGGCCAGCCTCTGCTTCCTCCGGAGGCTGGGGCCCTACTGAGCTTCTGGGCTGGGCTTTTATGCTCCTTGCCTGCCCCCTGGCCTCTGTGGAGTTAAAGAGGCAGGACCTCGCTCGGCCCACCTGGACTCAAAAATGGGTTCTTCCCCCTCAGGGTCAGTGAGTGGCCACACCTGGCTCACTTTAGAGAGGTACAGGAAGTATGGGGGGGGGGTGTTAAGTGGGACAGAGAATTTTATTTCCTGGCTGCATATGACTGCCTGAAACTTCACTGCAGAACATTATTGGAACTTGGCTCCACCATGGGACAAGAAAATTCATCAGGGGAGCTTAGTGTCGCTCTACAAAGCCAGAAGCACACATCAGGTAAGCCATTACAGGCAGCTGTAATCTGAGGTTTTCTGGGGGCCCTCAGTAGCTCATTTCCAAGCCCACTTCACTCCTCTTGCCCCATACACTTCCAATTGTTGGGTAGGAGGCAGCATGTGCCACACACTGTTCCCCATCTGCACACCCAAGAGGCCGCTGTAGGACTGCTGTGGAAGACTGGCACCAATGCAGGTTTCATCCCTCTCCAGAAGCTCCTAGAAAAGCTCAGCCCTGGGGCATAGTATTATAGCAAGCTGGTGGGTTCTCATCCAGAATGCTCCCCACCTCCACTTTCACTGTGTGGGAAAACATGGCTGGATGAAGCAGCAGTGTGGGGAAGCCAGGAGGGGGAAGCGTTAGCGGAGCCAGGAGAAGTATGGAAAACAGTAGGGAGGTGTCAGAGGACAGGAGAGAGAGAGAGAGAGAGAGAGATCCGGAACAGATGTTTAGAACCATTATTCATTGACCGTGCTTGTCAGATGAGTATTAGCAGGTAGGACACTGCCAAACACTGAACAATACTCACTTTCTGAGTTCTCTTTGCAATTAAAGACACTACCGGAGCAAACAGGATTTCATAAAAGAATGTATTTATATAGGAAAACCAGAAATCTCTCTCAAAGCCTAGAACGTCAAACCACTAACTATGCAAGTGTGTACTATTGGCCAAAGAAAAGAATCCTTTCCTTACCTTTTGCGTGATGCTCATGCTGATAAAGGAGCTCTTTCAAAGACTCAGTGTTCTCGAACTCCTGGGCATTCTGAAGGAAGTCCTCCACTTGGTCAATTTTAATAGCAAACTGCAATAGGAATACAAAGAGAAAAAACGCAATGCAGTAATGCTTAAAATACAGGATGTCAACCTACGCCTTTTGGAACAAACGCTCAGATTAGTGGGGAAGGGTATCAAATATTTCTAGTGACAATCAACTACAACTTTCTAGTACAAATTTTTGGAGGCTGCTGTGGGGCCTCTGTTTTCACGAGGTTCTGATTTGAATCAAACCCTTGTCTTACTGGATGTTTTCCAATGTAACTGTGTAAAATTACAGTTTGTCTTTTATATGGATTTTCTCCCCTGGTTTATCTGCCTTCAAGTTCATTGATAAAGTGCTCTTAAATGATCCTCTGAATTTTAAAGATTGTTCTAAAATTCCCGTATTAACAATTGAATAAAGTTTTCCCTCTCACATTCACATTTTATTCAGGTTCCCTTCCAAATCCTCTCTGCCATATTAAAATCTAAATTCCAAGCATCTCTAGGAATAATGTTGAAGGCAGATACAATCTTCAGTCTGACTTTCTGAAAATAAAAATTGATTTTAAATCCACTGTTATGGCAAAACATTAAAAAACAAATTACAGTGAGTGAGGCCATAGCACAATGATCATTAAGATTAGCTTACTGCTTAACAGCTGATTTTTAAGTTATCTAAAATACACCTGCTTTCTTAGACTGTTCTGAAAATTACTAAATAGGTATCACCTGCTTAGGACTGATCTCAGCTACAGGAAGCTACAAGACAGATCTCACTGATTTAAGAAGATATTCAAGGTAAAATTTGAAATGACAATGTGGCTCAAGCCAAACTGACAAGCCATAGAAAGTGCTGATGTGTACTTTAAGTCTGTATAGTGCTTTTGATGTTCTGGAAGGGCACTGCTGGTCAACCATAACTATATATTAGCAAAGATTTGTGACAATGAGTTAACATTACAGCTTATATCAAGTTATTCTTTTGATTAATTATATCTTCTATTTCTTGTGTCATACTGCTCCTTCAGTATAATAAAAGTTTTTCATTACCACACCCTGGCTTCGAATGCCCTGAAACTTTGGATCCAAACCCAGTCCAGAATCTGAAGTCTACAGGTGATTTCTAGCCTTATAAGTGTGACCTGCACCTCAGACCTTACCACTTCAAACCCTGGGTTGCTCGAAATTTAGACTTGAATTTTGCAGCTTTGTGCCATCTCTAGTAACTGGATTGCCAAATTAAGGAAGACCAAATGATTGAAGTGCACACTTGGACTTCAGTGTCATCAAGTATATTGAAACCTATGATGAAATTAACAAACAAGATGAAAATCAAGCTCTCTCCTTTTGCTTGTTTAGACTCCTTTTCCTCATGATCTGTATGCTACACAATTATTCCATTATGCTTCAACATTTGAGATTTGAGTTTCATTAAAGAATATCCTTGCAATAATGTTTGTGGTTTATAATAGTAAAGCAAAGATTTCACAGAATTTAATTAAAAGAAAAGAATTTCAAAAGTAAATTTCTGTGTATTTTTATTTAAATCTATAGGACAATTTACACAGGTATCTAACTTAGTCTAGACTCAACAGAATGGGCCAGACCACTGGTCCAGTTCCAACTGCTTTATATTGTTCCCCTGGCAAAGAACAGCTTAAAAGGCAGCTCAACCAGTCTTATACTGGGGAGTAACCATAGTGATTCCTTAACAATCTCCTCTTGGCTTCTTGATTTAGGATTTGGCCCAGGCATGTCTGCATCTGGCTGATCCCTGGTTGCTGGAATGGTTTGTGAATTCTATTGGGAATCTGCAACGTTTACCTCAGCCCTCCTACTTTTCTAATTTCTATTAAGCATCGGGATAGTACAGTCAGTCCCAGGATCTGAAGTCCCAGACGGTGGATTAGAACAACACTTGTCCTCCCATGCATCGTCTTGTGAAACAAAGACTAGAGAGCACCACGTCACTGGGCGCTCAACTTCTGGTGCAAATCCACCCCACTCCTCTGTAAATGTGAAGTCAAATGATAGATTTAGTGGGCTGCGCAGGGAGTGCACATACTGTCATGGTTTGGAGTCCCAACCTCCATGAGCTTCCTGTGTGAATGGGATGGCAGGAGCAGGCTGGGAGAGAGATAAGACTGGGAGAAATGTTGCTAGATTCCTATCTTTCTGGTTTTGTGCCACTGTACAAGCTTTGTGCATATGGTTCTTATATTTGTCGTCACTTGGATGGCTAGACAGGCAACTGCCTTATTTGCAAGCACCACTGTGAGAACTATGCCCACATTTTAATACCCAGCCTTGAGTCCTGTGTTTAGGAATTTGGCCCTCAAAGAATTAAATAAACTGAATCTTAGATAATGAAAAAGATCTATTTGGACATGTCCATGTTCAGTGCAGTATCGAATACTAGAACTGGAAGGAACTTCAAGGGGTCATCAAGTCCAGTCCACTGCACACATGGCAAGGCCAAGCACCATCCTGACAGTTATTTGTCTAACACCTGCTTTTAAACACTCTAGTGATGGAGATTCTATAACCTCGCTAGGCAATTTGTTCCAGTGGTTAACCACCCTGACTATTACAAAGTTTTTCCTAATGTCCAACCAAAATCTTTCTTGCTGAAGTTTAAGCCATTGCTTCTTGTCCTATCCTCAGAGGTTATGGAGAATATTTTTTCTCTCTCCTCCTTGTACCAATCTTTATACTTGAAAGTTATTTCCCCTTTCAGTCTTCTCTTTTCCTAATTAAACAAACCTAATTCTTTCAATCTTCCCTCTTAGGTCATGTTTTCTAGACTTTTAATAATTTTTGTTGCTCTTTTCTGGACCTTTTTCAATGTGTCCACATCTTTCCTGAAACGTGACACCCAGGACTGGACATAATACTCCAACTGAGGCCTAATCAGGGCAGAGTACAGCAGAAGAATTATTTCTCATGTCTTTCTTACAACATTCCAGTAAATACATCCCAGAATGATGTTTGGTTTTTTTTTGCAAGGGTGTCATACTGATGATTCATATTTAGTTTGTGGTCCACTATGACCCCTCGATGCCTTTCTGCAATACTCCCTCCTAAACAGTCATTTCCCATTTTGTATATGTGAAAGTGATTGTTCCTTTCTAAGCGGAGATGTATGTTGTGCTAATTTTCTCAGCTCATTTCTCCAGTTTGTCCAGATCATTTTGAATTTTCATCCTATCATCCAAAATATTTGCCACCAACCTTCCAGGTGAAAACCAAAACAAATAAGTCATTAAGCACTTTCTCCATTTCCACATTCTCTGTTATCGTTTTGCCCTCTTCATTTAGTAATGGGCCTACCCTGTCCTTGGTCTTCCTCTTGCTTCTTTTTGTAGAATGTTTTCTTATTACCCTTTATATCTCTAGCTAGTTTGAGCTCATTTTGTGCCTTTGCCTTTCTAATTTTGCCCCTATATACCTGTACTGATTGTTTATATTCATTTATATGTAGGTACAGACTAATTTTTCATTGTTATTTTTCATTATTAGTTCTTTTTTAAGTAAAACATTAGGAAGAGATATCACATTTTTACAGATATTCATTCTAAATGTTCTGCTCATTTTTCTTCTGGAATACTCAAAAACAGAAATGCAACTGGGATTTTTAAAAATTAATTAGCCCTTTGCATCAGTAGATATAGAATGCAACACACTCTTGGAGGGATTGGGATTTGTTTCAAATTAAGCAGCATTTCATTTTAAATACAAACCTCCAGAGCATTTTCAAAAAATACTGCAGTAAGTTTCAGAAGTGCTCTTCGCTTCTGCAGCATAATGATGAGGGCATCCCAGGCATCCCCCAGAGTCTGTGCCATAGCATCATACACCTGGCTTTGCTCTTTGTTCTCCTCGGCAGTCTTGTCTGCTTCATGTAACAGATTCCATACTTGATCTTCCAAAGACTGTATGCGGGCAGGGGACGGAAAGACAAACAAATGTGTTATATCTAATCAGAATTGCAAATAACACAATGATATTACTTTGGGATACATTTTCAATAGGATTATCTTTTCAGTTACCCACAACTATCCTATTATTGGCATATTTTCAACATAAAGTATTTTAAAAATGGTGTGTGGCCATTTCTAGAGTTGGTATCAAAAACTTACCTGTTGAATTCAGTTCTGGATTTTGACGCTCTCACACAATTCCATAAAATGTTGGTGACAATGCAAAGGGGATCCATCATTCCACACTTAAAATTTACATTCAGATATGCTCTGCTACTTAAATGTAAATCATTCCTGCAGCTAGTAAATACTCATGTGTTTTGGGTCTTCATTTGTTAGAATATCATACAGCCATAGCAATGCAACCTCCCTGCAGTGCTGGAGGTCAGTAAAACAAACCCAAATTAAAGCCCTAACGATATAGGATACAACTCAAATATAATTAATTCACAAATATCTCAAAGCCAGGGGCTAATTAGATTAAAACTATATTTACATTGTCTAAGACAGGCCACAGCTTACATGCCAGGATTTCCAGTTCTGCCTGGTATAGTTCTCAAGATGAACCACATAATTAAAATGTTCAGGTTATCACAAGAATGAGCCCAGAATGTTTCATGCCCTTTGCCATAAGATAGGATAACTTCTGTGTCTTTTCTTGTTCATATTAAAATCTTCAGAGTGTCTAGAGAATTGATTGTTTGTACTATACGTGTTTTTCATCTTGGGCCTTTATCATGAGAATAGATTAATAAAGTGCCAATTTCTGCTGTTATTACATGTACTATCACAAGAATGTATAATGAGAAGAGGAATCTCTACAAGGCAAATTAAAATCTCTGATAACTCATGCTCATGACACAGACTAATAAAAATAGAAGATAAGAAAACTTGAAATTCTCATGACAGAGATTGAATTTCGAATCAGAAATAATAGAAAACTAATTCATTATTGTGCTAAGCACAGGATCAGATGCTCCAGATCCTCCCTGGATGCTACCCACACACTCTGTGAATGTAATAGAGTCTGAATCAGGTGTTAATCTCTCCTCACTGAAAGCAGGGCTTTGGGAAACACTCCAGTGCACAGTGGAACCATTATGCCTGACTCGAAACATTTTAAACAAAAACAAATAATTTAATTTACTTCAGCACAAGACAGAATAAATAAAAGATTAGTATTTTTTTACTCAGTATCCAAAATAAGAACTACTACAGTCTGATACTGCAAAAATAAAATTATTAAAGAAAGGAATATATCCAAGAAATATATTATTGAACAAATATTGTGTAGTACATAGGTAAGTGTGGTAATTAACTTTAAGTTCTCAGCAGTGTTTTTGCTAGCCTTATAGTGGCAAACCCATCTAAAGGACATACAAAAAGTAAATCTTTTAAAGAACTATTTACATTCCCCATTTTGTCTCCTGAATGATAACATAGTACTCGGAACCCTGCATTCTAATCTTGGCTCTGAAAATGACTCCTTCCATGCCACTGAACAAATCATCTTTTTTTTCCAATTTTACCACTGGTGTAATGCCACTGACATGAAAGGAGTGGCTCCTTAATGACAAAGGTATAAGATCAGAATCAGACCTGGAGTAAAAATGGAGAAAGGCCTTGAGGATTTAACCTAGTCATACTAATACTTCCTTTCTCTTCATTTTATTAATGTTTAGTTACCAACCTAACTGGAGTGATGTTCAGACTAATTAGTTAATGTTTGTCAAGTTCTATATTCAGTAAGTGTTAAGTACCATTATAATTAGTCCTAAAAAGAGAAGCACTTACTGGGGTGTGTGATAACTTTTACACCACAGAGATATTAAGGCTCTATGATTAAATGAAATTTAGAAACCAGCTTTATCAAACGGATGTTAATGGTCAGGCTTAATGAGCCATTACCAAAGCTCATGCAAACTTTAAAAGAAAATTCATCTTGTAAAACAATCTTCAGAGTGTGTTTTTTAAGTGCTTTGTTTTTCTTTTATTGGCTTGCATCATTATTTCCTACATTATCTTTTTATAGCAGCATAGCTATATAAATAATGTTGTCTATGCAGTATTCAATTTGCCAAAGCATATGCACAATCTGCACAAAATCAAGGAGATACTCTAATGCCTAAATGTTCTATTCTGTCTAAAATATAAGCTCTGAGTGTTTAATCCCAGAATGCCACAGATGCAGGACAGAGAAGAAAAGTTGGCTTGGTTCTTCAAGTCTAAAGAAAGAAGAATAGCTCCAGGCCAAAAACTTGTGGAACTGAGTGGCCAGTGTACTAAAGAAGAGGACGTGTGTGAATGATGGAAGTTACAACTCCATTAACATGGGTCTTACAATTGCCAGGTACTTTTTCTTCTGTTATATAAATGATTCTCTTGGTTTCTGCTATTTCCACTCCAATTCATCTGATGAAGTGGATTGTACTCATGAAAGCTCATGATTCTGTATATTTTGGTTAATCTCTAAGGTGATACAGGACTACTCGTTATTAAAGTTACAGACTAAAATGGCTACCCCTCTGAGATATTTTAACTCCATATTCTTTCTTTACTACTGAGCCCTTTCAACGTTCAAGCATGTGGGGGGTAAATGCTTTAATTATCTGAGAACAAAGTGATTTCTTTTTGCCCTCCCACTGGCGTTTCTACAGAGCATCTTCCCATCAGGTCTGTTGCTATGCAGGCAATCATCCCCTCTGCTCTTACTGATCGGGCTTTGAGAGTTCTCATGACCAAGGTCTGTAGAGAAAGTTCCTGTTCTCATCCCCCAGGCCGCAACACGAGCACTCACAAGGGCAGAGTTACGTCAGGATATATATAGTGTGGGATAAACATTTTCTGTCAGAACATTTTTATGGAAAATTGGGTTTTTACAAAATGAAATTTTTCATGAGATGTGTCAGCTTGCTGACTTTTGTTGAAAAACTGACCACCAAAAATCCAAAATATTTAGATTTTAAATTGCTGCCATTGTGCCTCGTGAGACTTGTACCTGGATATCTTGACTTCTTTCTCCTCCGTTGTTCAACCCCTTTTTGTTTTCAGTTTAAACTGATTTTTACTGGGAAAAAAATCTTGGGTTTTAAAAAAAGGCTATTTTTTTCACTCTACTTGTTATCAAACTATATTAAAAATAACTTGTTTTGTTAGGAAAATACAACACACTGCATGAAATATAAGTATTATGATAATTCTTTAGTCTGTTGTATATATGCAAAGCTGCCTATTAAAACAAGAAATAGTCCTGTGTCACCTTAGGCTACGTCTATTCTGCACCCTTCTTCTGCAAACGCTTAAGCAAATGAAGCACTGAGTAGCATATTGGCGCGCTTCATCTGCATAATTAATTAAGGACCATTTTTGCACAAGAAGGAGCTGTGTAGACGGCTCCTTTTTGCAAAAAAACACAGCTCCTTCTTTCACAAAAATGGCCCCTAATTAATAATGCAAATGAAGCACAGCGATATGCTACTTCGCGCTTCATTTGCGTAAGCTTTTGCGGAAGAAGGGTGCAGTATAGACGTAGTCTTACAGGCCAACAAAAATATATAGAATCATGAGCTTTTGTGAGCAAAACTCACTTCATCAGATGATGAGCAGAAACAAGGCTACATATTAGTCTAGAAGTTAAACTAAACAAACAGGTATGCACACAAGGTCTGAAGTGCATGCCCATCTGAATGTGCTGAAAAATCTTATGCCCATCACCTAAACGTTTCAAAGTGTTAACAGTTTGACACAAAAAGAATCTGACACAATAAAATGGGAAGAAAATGAAAATCTATATTAGAATATGATTCAGAACCCAGGGAAGTATTCAAGAGTTTTATAAATACACAAACAGGAGAAAGGGATATTGTTGAATGTAAATGCTACAAATGGTGTGACCCAATGATGAAATGTAAATATTTAAAGACTAACAGTTCTAAGTCTGCAACAGTAAATGGTTTATTCTGATGAAAAGGCTTTTTGGGGGATTAGAGATGCAGTTTTCTCAAACTGGAGGTGGCGTTATGTTTTGAATTCTGTTTTAATTCTGCAGCAAACCACATTGAATTCCATTAATCAATGTGTAGTGCCCCCTTCTCCACCTGGTTACCTTCTTTAATGCCAGTCTGCTTACAGGTTTTGATGGGTAGGTCTGGGTTCTTCTGGATCCCGCCATCCACTCAACTTTATTTTTTCCTATGGATTTATTTGGCCGTGCCTCTACCCCCCTCACTCCTTCCAGGAAGGGTCACCAGGCAGCTTGGGTGGAAAATTCTAACCCAGGGGAATCCCCACGTACTTGCCAGATTTGCCAGATAGTTGGAGACTCCCAGAAAATAGCACAAACACATACACTATAATAAACACAAGTATATTAAACAGGAGACAAATATAACAGAACAGGGTAAAACACTATTTTTAAGGTCACCGGTGCCCGTTGGTACACGTACTTTGTTGGGGCCCTTGATTTCTTTTGACCACAAAATTCTTCTCTGCAGTGGTTTAGCAGTGGGGCTGACTGGGTCCAGTACAGCCCAAAGGAATAGGTGGTAAATCCCTCCACAAGTTTAATACGCAGCAGGTAATAAAATCCCCAAACAAATTCCCTGACTTACTAACTAAAAGATGATGCACTCACACACTCCATGAACGAGGCTCAGGTTCAGCGATGACTCAGTCACTGCAGAGGGGCTACTTTCTTCTGGCAGGGATCCTCTTCGGGCAGGAATCAGGCTGCTTTGGTCCCAGGATTTCCCCTCACCACAAAGGGGTGCAAGGCTCAAGGTGCAGGCCACACAACTGCACCAAAATTCAAACTATAACCTCCTACTCCTGCTTTGGTCCCAGGATTTCCCTTCACCACAAAGGGGTGCAAGGCTCAAGGTGCAGGCCACACAACTGCACCAAAATTCAAACTATAACCTCCTACTCCTGCTTTGGTCCCAGGATTTCCCTTC